TTACATAGATTCTGTACATGTATTGTGGATAGGAAGGTCTGTGGGTAAGAAATACTCTATCTCCATGTCCTTGAAATGTTTGAGGAAAAACAGATGTTTCAGGCTTAATTCTAAAGAACTGGACATTGAGTATGAATTTTGTTATTACAAACTTGAAATTCTACATCTGTTTTAGCAAGTTTTACAACAGTAAAATGACTATGTCTGATATTATACGGAACCTTTACTATGCATTTCTAAATGCTGAGTGTTTTGCCAAACATATTTTGCAAACATAAAACAGTTCTCAGAATGACAAAAAAAAGTCTTGAGATAACACTACAGAAAGAAATATATGGGAGTCCTAGAAGAGGTGTGCACTGTAGCTTCTGTCAGCTGAAGCTGCAGATAACAAATTAGCAGAATGTGAATTTATTTACATTTGCCTTATAAGTCAATATGCTATATGCTGTAGGTAGGTAGAGTGCCTTGCAAAATCATGGACTCTGCACCTGTAATAGATCAGAGGTAGGTCTCAGTAACAGGTAATGAGCAGTGGAACAACTGATCTTAACTGTCAGATGCTAAACAGGTGACAGAGGAGCAGAGAGATCTCTTCAATCTTTAGGCACAAAAAACCCCATACATGTATGTACATACCAAAAAGTCAGTATGGGCTGACAATTCTTGATCAAATTGGACCATTCAATTGAAAACCAGGACAACATTTCTGTTGGACAGAAACCTGTCTACCTTCATATAATTCTGAGGTTTTTGTTTAACAGAGAGCCTCACAGAAGGGAAATATATTTGTCCTCAAACCCTCAAAAAGATTTATTTTGGGGATTTTAGACTCAGATATAAACTTTTAAGCTTGTAATGTGAAGTGAACAGCATTGTAAATTACCTTTGCCTAAAAACACATTTGATAAGGTGCCAGAAAGTAGATGTTAGGTTGCATAAAACCAACTTTAAAGATATAAAAAAAAGATAAATATGATGCAGAGATGAGACAGGATATGCATGCCACAGTACTGGTTTGGTCTCAATGTGACGCTTGGGACTTTAATTGCCTGGAGCAATTTGCAGCATGCAACTTTGTTACCTAATATTCTTTGTGTTGTCTGATAACAAGTAAGAGTTAAAAGGCATTCACTAAACTTTGAAGTGGGTATGGTGTGTTGTGTGTTCTTTGCTTTTCATATCAGCTTCTTGATCTTGACCCTGACCCAGTCTGGTGCTCCACAAGAAAATGCAGCCTTGCAATTTTTATTCAGTTATGGTGAAGTGGAGGAGCAAGAGGTGCAAAGAATGGATAAAAATGGAAATATTAGGGGTCAAATTTGGTTGGTATGACTTTTATTTACTTCAGTGAAATAACTTGGTGCAATTCAGTCAAACAGTAGGAAGAATTTCAGTGAGTCCAAGTGAAAGCCTGGCTTGTTAAAGCTATGTACAAATAAAGGTATCGTGCTAGTTTTGGCTGGGATAGAGTTAACTTCTTCACAGTAGCTACTTTGGGGGAAACTGTTGGTAATACAGAGATGTTTTTGTTATTGCTGAGCAAGGTTCTTATGGGTCCAAGGCCTTTTCTGTTCCTCACTGCACCCATCAGTAAGGAATCAGGGGCACAAGAAGTTGGGAGAGGACACAGCTGGGCAGCTGAAACCCAGTGACCAAAGGAATATTCTATACCTGTGGCATTATGCTTAGCAATAAAACAAAGGGAATTAGTGGGGTCCTGCTGCTCAGGGACTAGCTGGACATTAGTCAGTTGGTGGTGAGGAATATTTTTAATTTTTGTTACTTGTCTTTCTTGCTTTTATTTTCTCTCTCTTTGATATTTTCATTTTTCATTACAAGTTGCTATAACAATAATAGTTATTATTAATGTACTGTCTTGGTCTCAACCCACAAGTTTTCTCACTTTTACCCTTTTGATTCTTCACCCCCCACCCACATGCTCTGTATACTTATACATGGCAAATGGAATGGCAAAATTACTTTTGAAATGAGAGAATTGAAGTTATATCAATGGAAAAAAAATATTTCTAGTACTGAGTTTAAGAAAAGGAAAAGTCTGTGGACTATTCATGATGAAACTGATCAGCTTATTAAATGCTATTATTCCTAAAAATTCAGTCGATAATATCTCAGATGTTGAATTTGCCTCTATGAAATGCATTTGCTGTTATAGACAGGATAAGGCTCCTGTTAAACAGCACAGAACAAGTTGTAAGTCTCTATTTCTAAAAAAAAAAAATGTTTATTTTGAATGTTGGAATGAGAGGAAGCTGTTTTATTTTATTAGGAAATGTTTATTTCTTATTGCAGAAAATTCTCTGTTCCTGTGTGGGGGGAAAAAAAATAAAAACCAGAGAAAGAAAAGACAATGGGAAAAGAAAGATTTTTTATAAGACAAGAACCATTTATCAAATTAAGAATAACAAAAAAAAAGCTTAAAAAGAATTTGCATTGTCTTTCAAATGTGCTTACACCAATATTATCAACACAGAGGAATTCTTATTACATGTTGATTCTGAAAAGTGAGAGCTCTTAAGAAAATGAGTTGCTGCCAGAAGAAAAGCACAAAACATTTTCTTACAGGAAAAGAAACAAACTACTTCTCTTTAATTTAAATGGCATTCAAAACACATTTATCTTATGGCAATGTGAAAACAAAATTGGATTCAGTCTTTCAGCTCAAGAGAGCCTACAGAAGAAGACTTTTATTCCCAGGTGATTCAAACTCTATTTATCTTTTAACCACATGCAAACTGTTCAAACCAGCTTTTTGGATTGAGTGACCTTTTTCAGAAGAGCAGAAATAGCATTTAAAATAACTCTTGTTGCAAAGTGGAAGCATATGTCTGGGTCAAAAGTTAGCCCATTGTCAGCAAGATTCTCCATAGCAGAGGACAGCAGTGATTGCAGTATGAAAGATGTATGAATAAAAGTCTTTTCTCAAGAAATGAAGCAAACTTTTTTCACACTCATAAAACTGTTACGGCTGTAAATAAAAGATACAGGAAATAAAAGATTAAAGTGATGTCTGGAAATGTACAGAGAAAATACACACTAAGAAAAAATTCATGTTTGAAGCTAGGTTGATCTACAGAAGAACAAAATCACTTTATGTATTAGAAATAAAATAGTATTTATGTAATCATATGAGAATGATAAAAAAAAAAAAAAAAGAAACCAAAAATTTAGAGAGAGAACAAAGAACATATCAGTAATACCTAAAGAGAATTTTATAGTATGTACATTCTTAATCTGAGACTAATTCAGGGAACTATAAGGACTGTGCTTTGGAACACCACACTAATATTAATGTTTGGAATGGCTTGAGGTTTCGTGTATTTGTTTTTTAGGGGGTTGTTTGGTTTTTTTCCTTTTTTGTTGTTGTGTTTCTGTTTTAATAATGCGCTTTTGAATTACAGTATTACAAAATAAGTTCACAGACTGAAAAAAATTGTTCTGAGTGTTCTGGATCACAGGACAAAGCGATCATACCTTCTCAAAAAAAAATAAGTTCACAGACTGAAAAAAATTGTTCTGAGTGTTCTGGATCACAGGACAAAGCGATCATACCTTCTCAAAAATCTCTCAAGTGGAAAAAAGGATATACATATATATATATATATATATAAAGAAAGAAATAAAGAAAATGGATACAAATAAGAAAATATAGATTTTTTTCTTACATTATTATTTTCTCACTATTACATTTCAAAACAAAACTAGGCTGCTGGTAAACCTAATCAAACAGATTGTTGTCTTGGGGCTTCCTCATGGCTTTTCAAGCCCTGTGGGTTATGGCAATGAGGCAACTGTTAAAAATAGTAAAACTGTCACACTGTAAGGGCCACACTAATAAACTCAAGGTTAGTTTTCCAGGTCTGATTAAGAAGGATAAGAATGCACATAGACATAGATTAGATGGGATCATCTTTCTCATCATCTTCTTTAATAAAGCAATCTGCTTTAAAAAAGCGAGACTGAACTTCCCAACGGGTTTGGTTCATCAGACACAGAGAATGATTATTATAGTTGTGACTTGTAGATGCTGAGCCACTCATAAAAGTCACCGATTTAATAAAAGAGAAAATTATTCAAAACCGTTTACATGATTTTCAGAAAAGTGACAGAGAAGTGAATTCCTGCTTATTAATTAATGCAGTTTTTCTTCTTTGCACTCTAATTTCATTCTGATGGTCAAAATAATCAATGTTTCATCTTTACATGGTTTCTGTTCTGGTTTTGGCTGGGATAGAGGTAATTTTCTTCAGAGCAACTGAAACAAAGCCGTGATTTTTGGATTTAGTACAGGAGTATTGTTGATACTGATATTCCAGTTGCTGCGCAGTAGCCCTTAGCTTAAATCAAGGACTTTTCACTGTCTCATGTTCTGCTAGTGAGGAGGTGCACAAGAAGTTGTGAGGGAGCACAGCTGGGACTCACGCTGGCATTAGGGATATTCCATACCCTAGGGCATCATGCTCAGTGTATAAACTGGAGGAGTTAGCCAGGAGCAGACAATTATTGCTCAGGGATGCGATGGGCACTGGTCAGTAGGTGGTGATAGTTATGGCATATTATTCCTTCCTCCTTCCCCTTTCCTGCTTGCCGTAATCCCTCTGCTCCCAAACCAGACCAGGGAAATCGCCCGACGAGTTCCAGTCCACCAGGGGTGGGAGGAGGTTTGGCAAGGACAAAGATAAAAGCTGAAGGAGGATCTCTTTTCCGAGACACTACCACAGTTTTTTGCAGAACCTCTCCAGGGAAAAAGAGCAAGCCGGCAGTGGTGGAGACTTTTATACCGGGGGAAGGGGGCGGGGGAGAGTAGAATTACAACCAATGGGATGAGAGCAAAGGGGTGGGGCAAGGGGAAGGAACCAACTTCACAAAACCGAGGGGGAGGCACAGGGAAAAACCATTATAAACACTAATATAAACATATTAGTTCAACACGACACCTGCTCTTATCATCATAATTTCACCTTGTACCAATTATTTAACTGTTCTTATCGCAACACATGAGCTTTCCATTTTTACAGTTCTGCTCCCTATCCCAGTGGGGCAGAGGAGGGGAATGGGAAAGTCCACTGCATGGATCTTAATTGCTGGGTCTAGGAGTTAAGCACATCGGTGTCTTATTTAACTTTTCTCTCTCAGACTTTGGAGTTCAATGAAGGTAAAAAAGTCAAGGGAAGCTTTAAACAGTGCATCTTTGAGGGTAGAATAGCTGTGGACATTAAATTGCTTCTCTATGATCTCTTGTTCATCTGGTAGAAAGTAATTTTTTTCAAAGGTCAAATATTGCTTGTGGCAGGGACCACAACATGAATCTTTCACTTACTTAGGATGGAGGTACATTAACTGAAAGTCTGAAACCACATTCATTTCTGTGTTTTCTCTCTAGCCTGATAGATCTTCGTTCGTATCTGCAGTTTGTAGGAATGCCACTGGTTCAACTGAGAGAAATGTGGAAAATGTCTGATTAGCTCCAGTTTCTAGTGATGAATTGATTACCATCTATTGATTTACAAGTCAAACCTAAGAGACAGCCCACAAAGGTGAGTGAAAATGTTCATATTCCCATTTTCCGTTACATCTTGAAACTGAAATTACTGATCTTCCTATTTTTTATACAACTTCTGTTGCATTCTTTTTAGTTATTTAAATGACATCTCACAGAAAATACTTTTCTACACCCCTTATATTATTTTACTTCAGTTTTTGAGTAGAGCTTCAGTTTCACTTTGGGACTACTTTCACATCTTGCTCAATGATATTGTTTCTTTTACTTACATCTATATCTGTCACATCTCATCTTCCTTCAGTCACGTTTTTTTGTGCTGACTCCTAGGTGCCTAATTTGTTGGGGATTTTTGTTCCATCTCTGTAGTTTGTTTCTCTGGACCTTAACTACTACTGTCTTATTCATGATCTCTGGAGTAATTGTTACCAAATTTTTGCTTACTTACATTCTGACGCATTTCATGCAGGTGCATCCTTTTTAGTGTTGCCCAGCAGGTTTCTGTCTTTGTATGAAGATTAAAAAAAGGGTTTTTTTTCCCTAATTTTCATCTTTCCAGTTGAAAAAATGTTTTTTCTTCTTTTCTTTCTTTAAAAATAGGGATACTAAATGCAGCAGTGTGTTGAACATAATTCTCCTTTTGTTCTTGGCATTTTTACTTATTACTTTAGCTGGATGATATATAGAAGATGGGATTAGGTCTAAAGTATGTATATATTATTCATGTGTAGTGTACTGATAGAGAAAGTGTTATTTGTCTTCCAATTTTATATTATTAGTTATCATCAATTCCTTTTACTTTCCAGGGTTTTTTCTCCTCTTAGAGCTGACTCCTCATCACACTGTTCCCTCTTTACTGCTATCTATATTTCTCTTCTATTATTTAGCACTATTGTGGCAAATCACAACTTTAATGCAAAATTTGAAGAAAACTGTACTTTTGGAAGTACATCCTGTGTTTCCTGATATACAGTTGTAAATCTAATATATTAACATTTCCACCTTCAATAACTTCTATAATACTTGCTCAGTTTATATGGAAAAATATTAATTGCAGGTGTAATTAATTTCATTTGGTCCCTGTATTGCTAAACTCTGTCAAATCTCCATGGCATTTCTGAATTTTATGCTTCTGTGTATGTAAGGTAAAATGTCAGTCCACAATGTTAAATATCCATCTGTAACCAATATTCTCAGCTGATTTTTAGATATTAGTTTAGCTGATGAATCATGGTTAATTATTGCATTTTCTCTAAGTTTCTTGCAATGAAGAGTTAAAGTTGGTTTTAAAAAGTTACTTATAGTTTTGAAAGTAGCACAGAATATGTTAATTTAACTAATTCTTATTAAAAATATATATGGAATGTATACAGTGGTGATTTGCTCTCTCCACATGGGAAAAAATTGGTTTGGGATTTTTTTTCTGTTAATTGGTAGACTTTGTAACAGACCATCTTGGATAGAAAAGTTTGAACAAGCTCTATTCTTAAAATAATTTGCTGTGATCTTAAATCCTGAAAAGTAGGCAGGATCCCAACATTCATGGTCCACTTCCTACGCCTCAGTGGGTTAAGGAAAAATCTGGCTAGACCATTTCTATGTCTCCAAAATGTGGTTAGTCCTAGGCAGTTAGAATGCAGCTTCTTTATTTTATAAAAATCAGTATAATTATTTCAAGAGACCTAAATAAGTTCTGGTATTTCACTTGTTATTTAGAAAGTCAGGATATCGCTATAGAAGAAGAAAACAAAATTTCTGTCATAAGATAAATTCATTGCCAAGAATTAAATGGAATACAAAACTAGTAACCTGGTGTGGGTTGATTTAGAGGAGACACTTCCTTTTTAGGTCATAGCCATACACACATAGAAAGTATTTCTTATGCTTTTTAAAAGACTACTCACACTGGAAACTCAAATGCCACTCATCCAAATCAGAAAAGCTAAAATTGTGTCTCCTAAATTTTGTCTTTTTTAAGACGTGATGTGCAGCAAGGACTGCAAAGGAAGCAAGGAATTCATTAGAGTTCAGGACTTCAGAGTTCCTCATTCTTGTAGTCTTCATTAATTTTTTTTTTGTGAGTTGGGGTTTTTTAACATTTTTCATTTTTCTCTCTCATTTAATGTGAGATCTACTTAACCTCTGAGTTTCTGTATTGAAACTCAAGTGTTATGTGTCATAGAAAAATGTAAAATTGTCTTTATCAGAACATGATCATGTATTCTGAACATTTTAAATCTCTCATGCTAACACAATTGAAATTCACCGAATTACAGAATTTCTGAGGTTTGGAAGGGACCTCTTGAGATCACCACATTTTCTGCCTCTCAGGCAGGGTCAGAGGATGAGATTGTCTTGGATTCATCCAGTCAGTCTTTGAATATCTCTAAAATGGGAGAATTCACAGCTTCTCTGGGCAAACCTATTGTTGTTGACCATTCTCATAGTAAAAATATTTCTCATGTTGACATAGAATTTAATATTTTTTAATTTGTGTCTGTTGACCAATTCCATCCATGAAGACGTTACTGGAAACTCAGGCACAAACTAAATGCAAGGAAAGAATGTAAAGATACTGATGATTTCATCTGACATTTCCTCTAAGGTCATAGATTGTGTGGAATTTCTTTTACTTTCCACCAAGTCCCCTTTTAGCCATTAAATCTGGAGGCAGAGAGAAACTGAGATTAGAATTATTAATTCCTAGTAAATTGCATTAGAGTTTTATTCATACAAGAAAACAAATCTCTGCTAAAAATAGAGGTATTTCAGTAAGTTAGCTCTCACAACAGGTACCAATGTTTTCACACATCATCCTTTCACTGATCTCTCCCTGAAGGAGAGGAATTCCAAAAATGTATAAAGCTTCTAGTTGAAGAACACTATAACAGTCTTTTTAAAATCACAGACATTCTCTGAGAGCTTCTAACAAAATATAAACCAAGTAGATTCAATGTCTTCAAGCATGATTTAAAATCTTAGCATTAAAAGAAAAATTGTTATAAAATAAGGATAATATATTTATTTTTGTACTTATGTTTCAAGTTGAGATGTACACAAAAGCAAAGCATATCTTTTTATATCTCTTCCCCCACCTGTCGGCCTTTAATCTTCGTTGTCGTAAATCATTGTGCCAGCCTAAAATATTGAGAGTGACTTAGGATATTTATCTAGTCATACAGCACAGATGGACAAACTAAGAGACTTGGCAGTTAGCAGGTGTTGATTTATGCTGAATTCAACACTACTGTCATAGGCCTATTGCTGTAGTTATTAGGGTTTATTCTGGTAAAAATCTCTGCATCTCCTTTTGGCAGAGTAAGACTTTTCAGCTGATTTCTAAGGGAGTAAGTATGAGCCGACGTTGAGCTTTTCTAAACACTCAGACCTTCTCTAGACATTAGGTAGGATTAGCAGTACAACCTGAAGAAAAACCCTGAAGACAGCAATAGATTTTATTCTCTGAATGCCCTGTGTTTCTTTGCATAAATGCAGTGATCTACTGGGGCACTGAAGTGGTTTGGTAGAGCCCCTCAACAGGGCATGTAGGAAGGGATGGGAATCTCATTGTTTGGCTGGAACTGAAGTCTGGCACCTAATGCTTACTAATGTTTGATTTTTATGGAAATAGTAGGAATTAGACATCTAGTACATGTGTAGACTCCAAACTGTAGTAATCCTAATAGTGAATGCATTTGCATCCAAGAACTGTCTCTGTTTATACACATTTTTGTAATGTGGCTTGCATATGACTTCTGAATATGGGCCTACTTCTGATGACACAAATTTGTCACATGACTTAGATTTTTGGCTTTCTGAGGAAAAATTATTTCAACCTTTTCCTATTTCATTATTTCATTTCATCATTTCCTATTTCATAATTTCCTATTATTTCAAAAAGCACTGTCATGCCCCCTTGTTGCTCAGCTGCAATAATAATTAATTCATAACCTGCTTTCATGACTTGGAAGAAAATCATTCATAGACAATCTGTTCTCATCTGCTTTTCTTGTCTTCTAACATCAAGATGAGTTCAGGTCAAAAAATAGAAATATATACCTAAGTTTCAAGACCCAGAAAGAAATTAATTAAGACTCCTAAAAGCTGTTTGAAAACAAAGGAAAATCTATTGTCTGAAATATCAGATATAAGATGGAAAAATACTTGAAATGTGTCCTTCTGGGCTTAAAGTATAGCTACTTCTGTGAGAAATGTATATATTCAAAAAGCTTGTTTTGAGAATGTATGGGTTTGAGGAAGTAACAGGCACTTAGGAAAAATGAAAATAGACATTTGTTTTTAAAGTTAACTTTTTAAAAAGTTAAGTTCTTGATTTACTGTAAAGATCACAATTCTTTCAACTTTTCAACCTGTGTAAAATAAGGAGACACATGATTCTGATGATTGGTCTCTTCTGAATTGGGATATTCTGAATTGGGATATTCTGTGATATTCTTTTAAAAAACTGGAACAAAATGCTGCCAAATTTGACTAATATTGATTCCCATGGATTTTATGTATTTCAGTAATATCTTGACCACCTGACCATGCCTGAATGGGACTAATCTGCATATATATAGTCTAAATTAACACGCTTAAAATATCTGAGAGCAGGTTTCAAATAATCTAAATTAACATCCTAAGAGAAGGTTTCAAAGGAGTATTTCTGGAGCTAGGCATCCAGCCCTCTATCATTTTTGCAGACTGATTTGGAAACTCAAATGATACATTTTTCCTTTAGATTATGGTAAAAGTGGTAACCTTCTTCTGTGACAAATAGCTCCTGTATAGAATGGTATTTCTAACTCCTTTCTGCACAAGCCCATGAGATAACATGACCTTAAGTTCCTAATCAATAAATCAAAACTGCTTTTGGATATCATATGCTTCATGACATTTAGGAAGAGTGGCAAGTTGAGCATTAGGAGTGATTTCTCAGTATCATTTCTATACTTACCAAAATGTCTCCCCATGGAAAGGGAGATAGATTGACTTTATTTCTGCATAAGAGTTCAGTTCTCTGCTCACCCTTATTTC